GTTATGACAGCAGTTTTTGGAATGTCATCAGGAGCTACTGGAATGTGATGAAAAGCCCGAACAAGATCAATTTTAGAAAATATAGTTTTTCCATTTAACTGGCTGTTAAAATCATGCAAATAAGGTATAGGATATCTATCAGGAACTGTTTTTGCATTTAGGGCACGGTAATCCCCGCAAGGTCTCCATGTACCATCAGTTTTAGGAACTAAATGAAGTGGACTGGACCAACAGCTTTTTGAAGGTCTGCAAATGCCTAACTCAACCATCTTGTGAAACTCCTTTTTAGCTACCGCAAGTTTTTCTGGAGGTAAACGTCTAGCTCTAAAGTTCACAGGCTGACCTGTTGTCTGAATTGAGTGAAAAACTGTGTCCTGTGAAACTTGAAAATTAGGATTTTCTTTCAGTAAATTAGGATATTGGTTGATAAGTTTTGAGTATTTACCTTTTGGGTCAAGAACCAATACAGATTGTTGATCTGAAAGTTTTTGAATTCCAATAACAGATAATTGAGTCCTGTTATCGATTAGTCTTTTATTTTTGATATCAACAAGTAAACCATAATGTGATAAAAAGTCTGCGCCAATTATGGGTTGGGTTACGTCTGCAACTATGAAAGACCAGACAAACTTTCTTTTCAAGCCTAGATCAAGTTTTATGTCTTGTTTACCGTACGTTTTGATAACAGAACCATTGGCAGCATATAATTGTCTATTACTTACAGCACATTTGTCTTTGTTTGTGAGAGGCAAAACAGATATGTCTGCTCCAGAATCCACGAGAAACTTACGACCACAGGGTAAGTTGGTTACAAATAAGCGGCGAGATTGAAAGCCCCTGTCATCCTGAGCCGCATTTAGTGACGGGGCAGGAAGTTTTCCTGTTGTGCATTCTTTTTTGGTGTGAACAAACAAGGTTGAACACATTTTTTAGCATTTTCACCAAATTTGTTATGATACCAGCAAATTTCACCTTGATCATTTCTCTCTTTAGGATAGTAATTGTTCTTATGGTTGACTGGGAAGTTGCGTTTACTTAACTTAAGAAGTCCATCAATAGACTGAGTTAGTTCGCTGACTTGTTTTTCTAAGTTGGCAATCCGATCACTAGATTGCGCAACATCTCCTTGAGCACAAACGTAGTTGTCGACAGCTGATAGTTCAGCTATTTGGTCACCTAATTTAGCTAAGTCATCAAGAGAATTGGTTTGAGAAGCAGCTAGAGCAGTACGAATGTGACTAGGTAGACGTTGTAGAAAAATAACTTTCAAAAAACTGTCAGTTACCTGTGTGCCTGCTAAGGTTCTCATTTCACGAAGAAGAGTTGTCGGCTTCTTATCTCCGAGAAAAACTTCTGTTGTCAGTTGTTTTAGTTTGGCATTTTCTGAAATTTCGTATTCTGAGCAGAGCCTTTCTTTTATGTCAGAGTAGGGAGTTTGAGACAAAGGTTTGGTAATAAAATCTGAAAGGTGACTTGCAACTTCATTGTCCAGTGAGCTCATTACATAATTGTATTTAGTTCTTTCCTTTGAAATTCCATGAAGAGAAAACTGACATTCAATTTGATGAAACCAAAGTGAAACATTTTTTGACCAAAATGGTGGAATTTTCACTTGAATTGGTGAGATTTGTGAAGCCTCTGGTGTACTAGGAGTTGGAGTAGAATCTTGATTATTCATTATGGTCCAATTGAATTAATGACAAAACCATGTAGCCACAAGGTTTCCCCTAAGACAGACCGATGGAAAGAAAGTACCGTTACGTTTAATTTTCAAGATGATCTCGTTCGCATCGCTCAATCACGTCCTGGTTGAAGTTCGTTCGCTACGCTCACTCACCTTTGGGTTGGAGCTCGTTCGCTACGCTCACTCACCTTTAGGTTGGAGCTCGTTCGCTGCGCTCACTTGCCTTCAGGTTAGCTCGTTCGCTACGCTAACTCGCCTCCAGGTTGAAGTTCGTTCGCTACGCTCACTCACCTTTTGGTTGCAAATTAGCTGTTGTCATAAATGTAAAAGAAATAATAGTGCTGCACCCTGTTGGTAATCCTTGTAACTTTAATGCTATTGAACATCATAGAACAGAACCAACTTGTTTAATTGAAACAGCTGTTAAGATTCATTAATTCCATTTCTCATAAGGTTAACATGGGAAACTCCAGAGCCACTGGGGCGGAGCCCTGCTTTTAAGAATTTCGAAACGGGAAATAGTTTACGTCCGATTCGCATACCTACAGAATTTACACACCAAATTTCATAACGATCGGTGAAGTCGTTCCGGAGGAGTTTGCAGACAAACACTGTGACACGAGAATTTTATATATTAGATATATATATATACATATATACAAATTTGAACGAATGGCGTTTTTGGCCTCTGGGGACATCAAAATGAAAAAGTAAATCGGTCCCGGGTCTACGTCTTACCGTGCCACCTACGGTAATAGCTACTTCCCAATAGGGAAATTCGCTAAAACGTGTTTTATTAGTTTTAAGGTGTCAGCCATTTTGGATTTTTGAGAAGGCTAGAATTTGTAAATAGGACTTTTGAAAATCGATACGACAATACTACAATGCTATTCCCCGTAAGGATAGCATAGAGGGGAAATTCGACATTTGGGGGGGGGGGTTAAAAATGAAAATGTCATTTTTGAGAATTTGAGAATTTTCCCGGGGGTTTGGGCCCAAGACCGAGAAGTTTGCCAAATTTCAACTCCCTAGCACCTTTAGAAGTGCTCAAACTTTAGTATACCTAAGTCAGTTACATATGCGGCTGTATAGTATATGCACATGCGCCCCCACCCCTAATTTGTCGACCACCCCTGGAAGCAACAACACGGGTTTTTACACTCACCTAGGCCTAGGCCCCTATTAATAAAATAAATACCCCCGCCGCAGCAAACCTGCAGACTAAGCGAATTTCCATTAACCTGATTGGATTTACACTAAAATTCCTCCATAAAAATAGCACATTTATTTCCTATTTAAAAAGAATTAGTTTAACGAGTACTTAGGTTTGCTGCAAAAGGAGGGTAAAAAAGATTTTTTTATATAAAATGATAATAGTTTAGTAAGAAATAAAAGTATTTTCCAAAATCTATCAAAATATGTTCATAAACAAGCAAACTACAACAGTTGACTTATTCTCCATAAGAATAACATGGGAATTTTAAAATTACAATTTTTTTGAATTTTCTCCGTAACAATTAGGCGCATAATAACGCTTCAATATACTAAATTATTTGTTTTTTTTTAAGCTTTACAAAATGGTTTAAAAAGAAATTGTGAAATTTTGTGTTTTTAGGGTCAAAAATGGGAAAAACCCATTTTTACCCCATAAAACCCCCCATAAACCCCTTTTCCCATAGTCCGATCATGCTGGTTCGCGAACTCATTCAAGTTTATCCCGCCTTACACCTTCAAACCAAATTTTATCAAAATCGGACAAAAATTACTCAAGTTATCGTGCTGATGGACACACACACACACACACACACACACACACACACACACATATATATATATATATATATATATAACAATTTGAACGAATTGTGTTTTTGGCCTCTGGGGACATCAAAATGAAAAAGTAAATTGGTCCCGGGCTTATTTCTTACCATGAGACCTACGGTAATAGCTACTTCCCTATAGGGAAATTCGCTAAAAGTCAATTTAAATTAATCTTTTACTTACGTTCAATAACAAGGGAGTTAAAAGCGGTTTTCATATTAACGTTTTTCGCAACTTTGCGCCCCCGCCCCTATGTTGTCGACCACCCCTGGAGGTGACGACATGGGTTTTTACACTCACCTAGGTCCCCATTACCAAAATCAAAAGTCAAAATCTCTGACTCTTTTCATGCTTACTCAACTGCACCTAGCACCTCGCCTAAAAACCCCTCCTGTAAACCATCGCCCGCCTGCGAAACATTGAACTCGGAAAAAACCAAATTTAACTGCCATAAGAAATGTACAGGGAGGCAGTTTGTGCATAACTCGAAATATACGTCAAAATGAATGCCGATGCTTGATGGCAAATCTGCGGTACGTCCATACCTTTAGTTTAAGGCCAAAATTATGAAAATCGGTCGGGTAAAGAGCTAACCTGACTCGGAAAAGAAAAGCCAATTATTTTTATAGATAGCAATAATTGGTTTACCAGTATGCATAATCTAATCATACGAAACATGTGTCAATAATTCAACAGCTTATTGTTATATATTGTTATCTAATTAATTTTTCTTTGATTAAATGCTGTTGTTAACCATTTGCATTTGTGTTTTAAGTGTTCCTTATGTTAAATGTGTGATTCTAATGTTAATAAATGAGTGAATAAATAAAGTATGTACATGTATGTATGTCATAGTGTAATCATAGATAAAACATACTCCCTTAGTAGATTTCTCATCCTTCTTATGGAACAGCTGAAGACAATTTCATTGTTAGTTCATGTACGGTTTATGTAGAGGTCGTGTTTTGTTTACAATTTGTTTCCCGTTATTACAGCCATTTAAAACCTCGTTTAACCAAATAATACGATCTAATCATAAACAATAACTTGTCCCCTAGTTATATAACCAAACAGTAAAGCACAAATCAAGAAATTAACCCCAAAATAATGGAAACAAAGTTTCATCGACACAAGCGCCTTTGTGTCACGTACATGAACTAGACACAAAAAACGTGCTTCAAAATTTACAATGGGATGAGAAGTCTACTTGTGTTGGTTAGTCTATGGTGTAATATAATCACGGAGAGTGAATTTTTACGCACACACAATTTTTACGCATAGATAGGTATGAATTTGGGATATTTGGTAGTTAAATGGAATTTTTGTAGAATTTGGATGATGGATGGAGGAAAATTGGGGCTTTCTATAGATTTTTATGACTTGGCGGATTATTGGAGGATTTTTGCTTGAGCTGGGGATAAAATGGGGATTTTTCTTAGTCAGATGGGGAATTGTCACAGGTCCAGGGTGGCAACACTGCCCATCTTTGTCATTGTCAGTTTTGTTTTGGTTTGGTTGTCGGTTTCTCGGTTCCGGTTGTTTGTACTTTGTAAATAGAGATCGATGCCCGATGGTTGTAGGAGGACTGGGCTAGTTATCATACTGGGTTAACTTGGTTTTTATTTATAAATCAAAACATGGGGAAAGGTGGGATTTCAAGTGACGAAGATTCTAAGCCCACCGTAGCGAAAACCCCAGTTGAACTTCAGAGGTTTAAACTTGAAAAACTGATGAAAAATCCTGTAAGTACCTAACCTAGAAGAAATCCAATGAGTTTTGTTATAAAATCACTCTTAGCTAAGTTGATCGATCACACCTTGTGTAGGCTAAGTTAGTGCAGTTTTGGACGAAACATTCATATCAGACATGATCATATTCACTAAGGTAAATATGCATTTTAGGGTTTGCACGCGATTTTTGAAATTTTTTTTTTCATTCTACTCGAAATTTAACGCTGATTCCGAAAATGACGTTCTTTTTCCGCGGAAAACGACCATAACGCGGAAAAACGACCAAAACGACCAAAAACTCTTTTTTTACCAAAACACGTCATGTGGGTACTCAAATTAACCGTAATATTAAGCAGATCACGACTATGCAAGAATTTTTTGGATCCGAGGTCAAATAAGCGAGATTTTCACGTAAATATGCGATGCTATTTTGGATTTTTGCTCTAACTATTGTCTGTGTTAAAATACCAGCTGATCAGGATCAGCTGGTCATTATTTTATTATAATTGTTTATGTTTTAATTTAACAGGTAAAAGGGATGATACTATGCATAACCTAACTTAACCTAACCTACCCTAACCTAACCAACCTAACCAACCTAACCTAACCTAACCTAACCAACCTAACCAACCTAACCTAACCTAACCAACCTAACCTAACCTAACCAACCTAACCTAACCAAACTAACCTAACCTAACCTAACTTAACCTAACCTAACCTAATCAACCTAACCTAACCTAACCAACCTAACCTAACCAACCTAACCTAACCAACCTAACCTAACCAACCTAACCTAACCTAACCTAATCAATCTAACCAACCTAACCTAACCTAACCAACCTAACCAAACCTAACCTAACCTAACCTAACCAACCTAACCTAACCAACCTAACCTAACCTAACCAACCTAACCAAACCTAACCTAACCAACCACACCAACCTAACCTAACCTAACCTAACCAACCTAACCTAACCAAACTAACCTAACCAACCTAACCTAACCTAACCTAATCAACCTAACCTAACCTAACCTAATCAACCTAACCTAACCTAACCTAACCTAACCAACCTAACCTAACCTAACCAACCTAACCTAACCTAACCAACCTAACCTAACCTAACCAACCTAACCTAACCTAACCAACCTAACCTAACCTAACCTAACGAGCAACATGGCAGTGCTACTACAACCAATGAATAGGTTGGTACTGAAAAATTTCCCAATTTCAAGCATATCTCCCATAATTCTCCCGACTAATTACCCATTATTTTTTACACATTAAATTACAACGATAAACCACGTTAGATGTCTCCCTCACCCAAAACCCCGAATTCCCACCTGTCCCCTAGTGAGTTGGAGTTATTGCTGGTAGTATCACGTTTTCGTGAATATCTCGCTTATTTGACCTCGGATCCAAAAAATTCTTGCATAGTCGTGATCTGCTAAAAATTCCGGTTAATTTGAGTACCCACATGACGTGTTTTGGTAAACAAGAGTTTTTGGTCGTTTTGGTCGTTTTTCTGCGTTATGGTCGTTTTCCGCGGAAAAAGAACGTCATTTTCGGAATCAGCGTTAAATTTCGAGTAGAATGAAAAAAAAAAATTCAAAAATCGCGTGCAAACCCTAAAATGCATATTAACCTTTACTAAAAATAATGAGCTAAAAGTATTAGTCTTTTCATTGAAGTTAATCATATTAATCACATACAAACTTAGAATAGGCCACTACTTTTAGGCCGCCTTCTCACTAACTTAGGTCGCAGCCACTAGATTTGTAGAATTGCATTGAATCTAATGGAGCCCTTCACACTACGGTATCGAGTTTAAGCGACCCACCTTGGTGGTAACAACCCGGCAGCGCTGGTCGGTGGCTGTCATTGTGCTTTTTCAGCGACAACTCGTAGTGGGCCATTGTTATATACCTAGCCCTTCATATTAAGTTCGGTGGATGTTGATCTAGCTCTTGGGGTTGCGCACACAGCTTGTTTTGTCTTCTGACTGTCTTCCCTGTACACTCGTCTGTCACTGATGTCCACTTGTTTGAAGCTGCACACGAGCTTGTGATACATTCTTGGTCCGCAGCTGTTTGTTTTGAGTTATGAACATATCTAGGCTATATTGCTTTATTTGGTTTACATTTTATTGCTTGTTAGCGATATGAATGAAGAGGGCAATACTTTTCTGGATAATAGCGAAAGTTTTTTGATTAACAGTAGGTATAAGCCAACTGAATCTGTAAGTGAACCAAAGAAGAACGTAAAAGTCTCTGGCGAGGAAATAAGTAAGGTACTGTAGGCTAAGTTTTTTGATTCCATCTTGACGAATAAAAAATCATACTACACAAAACAGAGTACTTTTTTGGCGAGAAGGTCTCAGCCACTTGGTGACAGCCACCATGTGTGAAGGGACAAGCATGGCTGCGACTTGTACAGGATGGTGGCTGCGACCCTAGTGAGAAGGTGGCCTTAATAATAATATAATGCTTTCATTCATGGAAGAATTAAGTGTTGTAATACCCCCGCCATAGTTAAAAAATATGTGGTTCCAACAAGACGGCGTGACGTGCCACACAGCATACGACACAATTGGTCTCTGGAGAGGATTCAAATTCATATTCAAATTGTTTGTTCAGCCATTTAACATTACAGTAATGAAAGGCTATGTCTAATAGGCCCATACAAATGTTAATTCAACTAAATAAAAATAGGATGAACACTTTCATTCTAAGCAGATCACACATATTAAAATGTGACAGGTTTTTTTTATCTCACAATTCTGAATCAACCACTTGACGGATTTTCCTGATTTTGGTGTTGAAAGAAAGATAAATTTGAAAGAAAGAGAATGTTGAAGTCATAATTTTAGTTCAGGGTTTCAGTTTTTTTAGATGTCAAGTGATTATTTTTTAAATATCTAGCCTAGTAGCCGACATAAATAACTGATTGTTCTTAAATTATTGTGGACGGACTCATCAGTTTTGATGTTTGTTTGTTTTCACTTCCAGTGACTTTGGATAACTGAAATCTGTCATCGCTTGCTGATTGGTCCCTGGAATCTGGAACCCAACTTCAGCTGTCTCTAGTAGACATTTCTGAATTTCGATATGACTAATTAAAGTCATTTTAAATTTAATTGAGGTATATAATATTCATAGTCTCTGTGGAATTTTGAAAATTAGGGCAATTCTTGACATTGTGGATTGCTAAAGTCTTCCACTGTCACGCAGAGTTTGTAAAAGCGAGTCGAACGCTCGTATTGCCCAGTGAATGCTGGAATCTGGTAATGAACACGTTCCAGGCAAAACACACTTACTGTTTTCTGATAGTGGTCTTCGCACCTATCTATCTGAAGAGACTAAATCAAGTCGAAACAACAAAGCACCTCTATCCTTAAAGGTGGATAGTTGTATTTGACTTAGCGCAGGCTCAATCAGTTTCGATTCGTCAAACCACACATGATAGGCCTACATTGATAAGTACACACCCGAGACGGTACGTGTGACAAGTTTGTGTGAAAGTTTGATTTTTTTTAGATTTACTAGGTGAAACCATAGAACCACAACAAGTGGAATGCCGACTCAAGCTGCGCTAGGTGCTTAGAAACGCGCCGGCTCCCCCCCACCACAAATCAGTGTAGTGGTGCAGAGTGTAGGCCTACTATGCGGCACATGCTCCTAGCCTATGTTTCGCACCACTAGTTCACTAGCCTAATTGTCTAATTAATCACTTAATTGAAAACTGTATAATACGATGACATGCCTGTATACTGCATGGACATTCAACTGCAAAAATTATCTTGATACTGTATATTACAAAAAAATAAATGTTCTGCAAACAAAAGAATGTTTAATGAGCTTTCCAACTCACACACATTTTTTAATAACAAGGATATTAAAGTTAGATTAACAGCACATATCTTAAGTACGGTAACATTTTTACTGACCCGCGTGAAGTTGGCCCCACCATAATGAGCACAAATTATAAAAACATGTCCATAATTTAGTGCTAAATTTGTGCTTCTCAAAGGTATTTATAAAAAAATTTGTGCTCAACAATAACACACCAAAAAATTATAAAAACTGTTGGCGGGGCTAACTTTACGTTCAGCCCGCCACCAAAGGAATTAACAATGTATTATACATAGAAATTTAGTGCTCATTTTGTGCTACAACAATATATAGTTTTTATAATTTGTGCTCTAAAAACAACCGAGTAAATGAGGAAAAACTGCCGCTGGTGATGACGTCATCCGCCCCGCCACATTGAACAAATCAGTTGAAAATGGTGTCATGATTTAGTGCTCATTTTGTGCTACAACAATATATAAGTTTTATAATTTGTGCTCTTAAAACACCCGAGTAAATGAGGGAAAACTGCCGCTGGTGATGACGTCATCCGCCCCACCACATTGAGCAAACCAGTTGAAAATGGTATCACGATTTAGTGCTCATTTTGTACCACAACAAAATGCAATTTGTATAATTTGTGCTCTAAAAACACCTGAGTAAATGCCGAAAAACTGCCCCCGGTGATGACGTCATCCGCCCCGCCACATTGAGCAAATCGGTTGAAAATAGTCACTTTTAGATTAAATTCATACAGTATACAGGGTGTTTTAGCCACCATTAGAATCTTGCAAACGATACATCTTACAGTAAACTTAAAATCGGGAACATTCTCTTGTTTTTAAAGATGTTGAAAAATAAGTAAACGTTATGTTTGTAAATGGCCGCCATTTTCCAACATGGCGGCCAACTTAGATATTTCTTATGGAAAACCCTATATTTTATAACGTTTTTGGGCAGAAAATGCAATTTAAAAACTATTTTGTACCTGACAATTTTTCCGTAAACCCACTCGTTTAGGAGTTACAGCCTACGAAAAAAAAAGATTTCCGGTGTACTTTTAATATCATGTAGCCCCTAAACGAGTACGTTTAGAGCAAAAATGTGAAGAATAAAAAAGTATGGCAGCAAACTTGGAAAGTGGAAAACTGTGTATTTTATGTTCTTT